AAGACGGCTCGATGCGCCGCTCATAAATGGACGGCAGTCAGAGAGAGTGGAGCGGTGGCAGCCTGTTTGGGAGGCTGCCTGGTAGAGGACCAGGTGGTTTGGGCCCTTTGGGGGAGACTGCGCTGTGGGGAAACTGATTTTTACAATGAAAAGGAAAAGAGATTTACGAGCCTTGACCTGTTCTCGGTACCTCCCCCATTTTCCCCAAATCATAGCGTTGCTCTCTGCACCAGAACGTCTAATCATATCAGAGCCACATGGTTGTAGACACATTAGGATGTTAGAAAGATGCAGATAAAAGGCCTTAAACATATACTTTCTCAGAAGCATATGATTCATGTGCCGGGAAATGTGGGAGGTTTTTCCTTTTTTCTTTCCTTGTTTGTAAAGGCTGAAACAGGACCAAACCAAAAAGTATCAAATCATGGTGGTGTCATCTCTTGCTGTCAATAAAATATGTCAACTGCAAGAAATAAAAGCCACTATTTTGATTTTGATTGAATGATTTTTCTACACCTGGTCCTCTAAACGTGGCTCAATGTAACAGTTACTGTCCCAGAAGTCACATGGGCACCCATGACTGAGCTCCCCCTGCTACCATATATCCACAATGGTCTCACTTCACCAGCCTTGCTTAATGAAGATGCCCATCATGTTCATTGCAGTTCTTAGTAATGAGGCTTAACAGTAGAAATCCAGCTTTCCTAAACAAGGAAATGGTCAAAGACAGAGTGGAGAAGCCCACCAAAAGAGTGTAGTATAATAAAAGATAACAGAAACGTAAATTAATAGGATGGATAAAAGCCTCACTTCTGTGTCTGTTAGCACAAGCATGCTCCATTAAATCGGCTTGGATTTTAATGAGTGGAAATATCCCTGTCAACTCCATCTTTAATTGATTAGGGAAGTCACTAGGTGTTCAAACATAATACTAAAACATCTAGTAGAGATGTTGAGCAAAACAGAGCCTTTGTGTTGTTGGGCCAAGGCCAGAGCGTCATGCTAGAATAGACTCCAAAGCACCGTCTTTCATATCAGATCCCAGGCTGAGTAATCATGTGGGGTCTGAAACCTAACTCTTTGACAACAGCTGGGGCCTCCCATCCTCTCACAATTAAGCAATGTGATATACAACCTTGAAAGTTTCAAATGGACCCAGGCCCCAGCATATTCACTCTTTATTGTCCCTCTGATTATCTTTGAGCTACTTCCAGACTTGGATATATTTGAGACAAAAAGCAATACACTGTATTTTTCAATTGAACTGCATGTTAACTAACATTGAGCATGTCTGGCCAAGAGGGAAAATGAAACACCTTGTATGTAACATTAATAATCATCAATGATGAATTTTAACTTTGGGCATGAGAAATAGGATCTGATATCTGCTGTGATTAGCACTATCCCCCCTCCTCTGTCTGCTCCCTCACTCCGCTGTGGTATAAGGGTAAGCCCTGTTAGAAACATATTCATCAAGGCAATTTATCTTTCCAATTCAGCCATCTAATTTAATTACATAAACGTACAATCCCTGTCTCTGTCATTATAACCGCTTCATTAGTTTTAAGAACATGAATAGAGCATTCATTGAGAAAACCTATAAATAAAGCATCCAGTGAAAGTGGAGCTCACCCATTTTGAAAAAATTTATATGACTTGACATAGTTTCTGATGAGTTGGCTTCCAGTACATAAATGACTGGGAAACTTTCTTACATCTTTGTTTTTAATTTCTAATTGTCTATAATGGGCTGCAATCCACATGACTTAAAGATAAGTATTGTAACAACAAAGAAAATGGCTTGAAACAACTAAAACATGTATTTAGTGGCATAACTCAGTGAATAATGTTGACACAATGAAAACCAAGTATTTACTCAACCCCTTAAATTATAGATCAAGTTGGGGAAAAAAATTCTAGGTACACTTGAAGATTTGGAGTACAATGGAGACTTGTAGATTTGGAGTACATAAATTAGATGTACGAAAATGGTTTTCATATGTGGATCATTGCTGTAGGCCTTGCTGCAATGAAACGTCGACTTGGCATACCACTACATTCCAGAGTCAATTGGTGGAATGTCAGCTTAGCTTGAAATGCATGTACTAAATTGACTTGAAATACATAACACAGCTGGATTGCTATTTTCTCTACGAGCCGAACGTTTTAAATTGTTACTTTTTTTTTACACAGTTGCATTGAATGTCATGTCTTCCTTTAATTTAATCTCACTTTGTTGTCTGTTTCGCCAACCCTTATCGGTTTCTTGAGCTCAGACATGGCGACTGCCACCCCGCTGTCTGGAAGTTGTCCTTTAGCAGAAGAAAACCACAGTGTTCTCCTCCAACAGCTTTTCATGTTGGCATGTGTCCATCCTTTGTACATGAATACATGAGCTGCCTTTGTTTCTCTGGCCCTGTATCAGGTTACTAGGCATGGCTGCGCCGTGTGTTTAATGGAAATGCTATGCAGGAAAAGGCCATGTGGCAGTCTTGAATATATGTACATCCGTAATGGGATACTCGTGAGTTCCCCTTAGAGTAACTATTTGCCTTATTAGGCTGTCGTCTTGTGACTGCAAACAAACTAGTGAGTACAGTGAGATGGAGGAGATTCCCGAGACTGGTGTCCTGACTGGATACTGTATACATTATTGTATCTCCGGCTCCAGGAAAGGAGCATGATGCATGTACACTGCAGAGTCAGAGGCCATCATGGTGTAAGTGCTTTGCTGAGATGAAATACAGAACATCTATTTATTATCTGCTGGCAGCAGCACATGAGGACACACTCAGTCCCTTCACCATCACAGTTTATACGAGACATCATAATTTGTTGCCACAGAAGGATGCTTCGGTTTGGGTCAGAGGGCATGCAAGGCAGTGCTGATTAGCTGATGAGAATGAGTAAGGTTATAAAAGAGACTTTTTATCATTGGCTCTGACTCACTGTGGTCACCTACACACAATATGTCTCCCCTGATTTAGGACAGTAGTTACAAAGACATGTCTACTTAATACTTAGTTGTAAGCATTTCTTTCCACGAACAACAACAAAATAAAGATGATATACAGAAGATTTAAAAACCACACACACGCAGCCTTAGAGTCTTAGATTATAGAGGCGTGTCAGTTGTAGTTCCCCAGTCAGTGGATTTTCCATAGAGAACGCGTGCCGGTGGAGAGACTTCTCTCTTTATTGCCGGGACTCAGGGGAGCCACTGTGCTGCTGGCTGAGGGCTGCGTGTGTGTGCAGCACGGGCCTGCAGGGGATGAGCGTGGGGCTTGGTGTCCATAAATCTGGCCCAGCACCCCTCCCTCTCTGACTCCCCAACCCACCCTACCCTTTCAAACATACAGAAAGGCTCAGGCACAGAGGCCTGCAGGCCTTGCCAGGCTCCCCAGACAGAGCTTTTTATCTTCAGCTTCTCTTAGCTTTACACTGACCCACGGCACCCTGAACTAATCTTAATGGTTGTTGAAGTACTTGAGGTGATCACGCCCCCCTGACCTTATGGCTACGCTAGAAAGAATGTACAAAGTTTTAGGTCACTGGGCTATGCAAGATTATAATAGGCCACCCATGATGTAACAAGTTATTTAGTCTACCACTGAGTCTAAACATTGTGTTTGCTTGAAAATATGTGAATAAAATCAAGCAACAGGATGCAATTATTTGATTAAAATCAAGACAATCCAATCTTTGGTAATGTGGCATAATCTTGAAAAACAACAATGATTTTAAGAAAATGCATGACTAAGTGAGTCTTTTTTAGAACAGTCTGGCAATAGTATTGAGTTATACTATTGCCAGACTGTTCTAAAAGCAGTTTACATGCAGTCATACCTTTTAGGCAATTTTACTGGCTTCTGCTGAAGCACCATATGAACAGTTTTAACTATTGTACAAATAATGTATACTTCACATTACAGCTGGTCGTTTTCAAATGCATTTAACAATTGTATAATTGATTAATTAATTAAATAATTAAATTTGTTTTTAGTTTGATTGGCCCTTTTTGCAAAAAATGTTGATTTCTCTTCATCTTAGTATGCTTTAAAAATCAACTTGCAGACTAAAAAATCTATTAGTAAGGTTAGCTGCATTGTCAGTGAGTGGTCCTGCAGTTCCTTCCAAGAGCTGGCGGTATATTTTGGGATACTGCAAACTTCAAATGGTAGTAATCAGCTGCCATAAAATATCTTACTGATGAGCTCTTTTATCAGAAAGTCAAATCTAGAAGTCAAACAAGCAGTGTTGTAAAAAGTTTACTATAACTCTATTGGTCGAATAAAGATAACGAAGTTATGTTTGTATTGACCTATCCATATAAAGTATGCTTAAACTTTTCTGAATGCCCTTATGAAAGGCACAAGAAAACAATGTGTGTGCCTTAGAAGGTAAGAAAATAATCTAAACAATGTGGAAAGATTGTTGGCAGCAATTTAAAGCACATGTAATTTGTAGCATGGAAAACCACTGCTTTGGTCCTTTAAGCTCCCATCAACAAGGAAATATGCATAAACAACAAAATAAAATTAGAATGTAGCGACCAAACTGTTGTACAAGAATGATGTTGTGCAGCACAATTGTGACTCATGTGATTTACTATATGTGTTTGTTTAGTTTATGTGGTTGACAAAATGGGCTTACTTCATGTAATATGTGGTGGTCTTTTGATTTATATGGAGGAGGTGGTCTGTTATCAGCAATATGACAAGTGCAAATTAATATCATGAAAATCAGTTGATGCTGGGAAGTCCCATGATGCTGCTTATGTGGTTTAGCCAGTGCTGTAACTTGCCAACCTGCATGTCTAGCCGTGAGACTCTCTAAAAGGAGACTGCAGTATATTACATAGATTTTATGGCATTACGTATTACACCTTTGCAGAACCTGGTGTTTGGCTGGGAGATTAAAGATGCTGTAAAATTCTCTGTGCGTGACTGTGAAACCGGTAGTGATTGATTCTTTTATACACTGTCTTTGTCTCTTCGCAGCTCCATCTACAGTATCCATAATGCACCAGGTCAGTCGTACTGTGGACAGCATCACCCTCTCCTGGTCCCAGCCTGACCAGCCTAATGGAGTCATCCTGGACTATGAGCTACAGTATTATGAAAAGGTATGAGTAATGCAGCATCACAGTCTTCCTTTAAACAATCACTGCTCCATATAAACATACGTCCTATTTCCTTTTCTCCTTATAAAACTAAACGAATTAAGCGCCAATGGTTAAAACTGACTCTTTTGTTTAGTTGTGCATTTAAATTCAGAATATCTCCTTGCGCTCGTTTGCATAACAGCACATCCTAGGAGGCATGTAGACAGAGCTTCTGAACATTGCTTAGAACTTCTGCTCATTCTCTTTCAATTATAATCACGGTCAGTCACTGGGAAAGGAAACCGCGCTCAGCCCTGCAGTAGGGCCACTGGGGATTGATGCGCAGAGACTTGTGGTTAAAACAATGGTGCGCTGACTGCTGTAAAAATAGTATTCAAGGGGCAAGCTCCACAGAATCAGCATACTTTCTCACAAGAACACTTGCAGTCACAAATGTGCATTGATTCAAGCACAATGATCACTAAAATGCATACAGCCCATTCACAGACGTACAGAAATGCATGTACACGTGTGCACACGCACATATACACAGCATTTGTCAAGGTTTCGTCTACATGCTGAGCTGTTCCACTTTTGAGAATAATTCCCTTCTCTGACACTGCTGGAGAGAGCTGTCAAAACAATTGTCCCGGCCCCTGCTGTGGCTCAGAAGTGTGCACTGAGCAGTGGGTTGAAGGGAGCAGCTAAAAGAGTCTCAGTCTCTGCTCTCAGACCTGTCAGCATTCTGGAGAGGAGGAGTATGGCAGTGAAATACAGCTCTGATCATCAGACGGCATGGCTCAGAAAAGCCGCCTGACCTAAAACTGCCACCAAATCTACCTTCTTAACTGCAGCCGCCTCTTTCAGTCCTGCTGCTTTATCAAACATTCGTTTTTTTTTTGTGGTAGCAAATTATTCAGATTAGATCTATTGTGGTTACTGTGGATGTTTGTAAAATAAATGTAGAAATGAGGATTACAGCTTTATTTTCTGTTCCTTTTCTGCTCCCAATAGTTCAGTTACAGTGTTATAAGGTTTAAAAGAACACAAAATGTCAGTATAAGATTTGTTCTGTACATGCGTTACAATAGTTTTCACCTATTGATAGATGTTGGACATGGTTAATTTATCCCATCAATAATATTCACATTAAAATGACAAAAATCATATCGACCAACGACCAAATCCAAAACTCTATTGAGATCATTTTAATGTCTTTTGCGGTCTGAGCTTACTGATACTGTTGTATCATTTGTTCCTCAATCTTAACCTAGTATGTAATTTATTCATGTGGCATCTCATAATTGTTAGCCTTTGCAATTGGACTGTAATTACTAATGTGCACAAATTTAACATGTTCTTTTTCCTCTCCTAGGACCAATCAGAATATAACTCTACCACCATCAGGAGCCAGACCAACACAGTGGTCATCCGTGGCCTCAAGCCAGGAAGCATCTACGTGTTCCAGGTCCGGGCCCGCACCGTAGCTGGGTTTGGACGCTACAGTGGCAAACTGTACTTCCAGACCATGACTGAGGGTGAGAATTCAGCCAATGTTCACCAAAGCACGCAGAGCTGTTATCACCTCTCATGCATGGCCTATCAACACACCATGTCGTATAGTATGGATACAGACAGCTGCGGGAATGAAAGGGAATTACGTTGTGAAGTAAACAGTTAAAATACTGCAAAACCAGATTTTAGTGGCTTGAAATTATATTCTTATTTTCATCATGTCTTTTTTAATGTTAGAAAACATCCCACACATTATACTATATCATTATTTTATTATTCATATATCAGCATTCAAGATTTATTTTGTTTATGTGGTACGCAAATGTTCTCCACTCTCACTCAGACATCTTTTTGTCATCTTGTGCAAGTCATGGATGAGGTGGAAGCTGCCTTATCTTTGTGCTATGACACGACTGGGAGAAGAGGGAACATTCAGTAAACATCAGTCATGTAGGTTAATGTTAGAGCCAAGGCCTGGGTTTTCCCCTCTGAACATCTCATTTCCTCCAGCCTGCAGTGCCCAGGGCCATCATTAGCCTAAACTCTCATACAAACATCCCTGATGCTGCCACACGCACAGATCCTAGCACTAAAGATACACGAAAGCTGACTCATAACTGTAAATATTGAGTAAACTAAAGAGATACAGTGCTCATTGCTTCCAGTTTTTACCGAAAAGCATTTTTTAACGGAAATGTAGATCAGTTCGAAGTGATTGTCACCTGGATTGTATGTCCCACAGCACCCAAAAAGTTTCCTGCTGCAAGAAGACACTGATTACCATAGTTTAAAGTAAACTTGTACTTTTGTGATGAGCACAGCTCTAAAAATGCTACAAGTGAAGGAAAAATGAACAGAAAGGGAAAATGAATCCCTGTCAAGGAGTAAAAAAATAAAGAAGATTAAACTACAGTGTTCGCACAAAAGATATATTTTTTAAATCTGATTATTGTATCAGCTGGATTTTTGTTACAGATTTTTATATCCAATGTTATTTATATTATATGTTATATAATAGTATGCAATATTATTATTCAATATTCAGAATAAACACTTTTTCTTATAATTCGTATTCTTAATCTTATTTTATAGTACCTCAAAATCCAAGCCTGTTGTACTTCAGTGTTATAAACAATACAAATATATCTCTCCAAGGAGTTCACCCTCTCTGGTCAAAGATTACTTTAATTTCCCTGTTGAGCATTTATAAGCACTATAGAAACACTTAATAAATAGTAATAGTAACTCTATACTTTTCTGTTTAATGTTGTTTACTGCAATACATTTCACACATATATATTCACATTTATATTTATAAGGATTCTGATTTGAAAATATGTTTTTAGGTTTGTTTTCAGTTATGGCTACAGGGATGCACTGATCAAAATATTTCTCACCTGATAAAGATTCTGACACGTGAACTCTGGGTATCTACCAATATGGATTTCTGATCTGATATTAGTTATATAAGCAGATAGAAGTTTATTAATTATTTGTCAACAACTTTAACTCCTCCTGTGGGCCTCCATAAGTGGAGGCTGTTATAGAAACAAATAATCAATAATTGTAATTATATAAAATATGTCTCCATAGGATAAGTTATAATTGTTAACTAATACTGTACATTAATAAACACTGACCTTACATTTTTACTTACAACTACATCATACTGTATTGTTAACCATTTCATAAATGTTCATACAGTGCTTATACATTGGGGGCATTACAGTAAAGTGTTTATAATAAGGGTTTTACCATATAAAATCTAATATTTAGGCTATCCAGAAGCACGTAACATTGCAGGGAACTAACCAACCCGTGTATCTGGCTAAAACTGTGAAGTCGTGTGTCATCTGCAGTTCTCAAGAGAAGGGTCTGGCTCTGCCTCTGTGTGCCCATTCAGTAGCTGGATTCCTGCTCTTGGCTGCCTGATCAGTCTGGGTCTCACCCAAACATGCTCTCTCTGCTCACTTCACACGCTTTCTGCCAGATGATTTGTCAATATCCGCGGCATCTGAGCACATTCAGTGTGCTTTGGAAAATGGTCCATGCTGCCAGTCAAGATGCCAAGATGCTCATTGGTTCAACCAGCCGTATGTCTGTCTGTCACCCATTGCTCCCTCCATATGCAGTGGCTCAGATGCTTGCCCATATGTTTCAGCCTGTGACTCTGCGTGTGTGTGAGTGTGTGTGTGCATGACACTATGTTTATGTATGTGTTTTTTTCTTTTTATAGAGGAATACAACACCAGTATTCAGGAGAAGCTACCTCTCATCATTGGCTCAGCAGCCGCTGGCTTGGTCTTCCTCATTGCTGTGGTCGTCATCATCATCGTCTGTAACCGGTGAGTCAGTCCTGTCCCAGTCTTTTAAAAAGAGCCTGTAAGCCCCTCGCCAATAAATCAACCGCACAAGCTGGCCAAGTGGACACTTTTAGTTTGTTCTTGTTTTTAGCTTTATGTCTGTTTCTGTCTATCTTTTGAAAATGGTTCTTTGAACTCTGTGTTCATTGAGAGCAACAAGAAACCACAGTCAGCTTCCTGGTATGCGTACAAATACTTGGCCAATAAAGCTGATTCTGATTAATACTGTAGACGTGAGATGTGGAGTTTAAACCATCTCAAATAAATTAATTTGTAATCAATTCCAGGCTTTCAGCAGCAGAAAAAATATATAAAAGTCAACATTGATAACATTAAAGTTCTGTAGGTGCACCAGCTCAATGGGTATCAAATGTTTGTAACTCTGCCAAGGTTAGAATTTCACTTCCCACTGGGGCCACTAATATTAAAACTGTAGCTAAGCTCCTGTGCAGTTTTTTGATTCACAGAAGAATGTATAAGATGAATGTATTCTGCTTGTGGTTTCCACCAATATTTATTTATTTATTTCTTGGATGGTAGTCGGACTATTTCGCATATATCGCTATCTTGTAGTATGACGACCTAATGATACAGGTTATACTGTACACTGTGGGATAGTTTGGGAAGATCACCAGAACGAAATGAAAGAGTGTGTGATTGAGTGTTATGAAAACTGCTGGACTGTCGAAGAAATAAAATGGTTCTAATACACTGTGAGGGCCCAATCTTAGACCTTGAAACGATATTTTAATATGTCTTTGTCAAGCTGTTTGCCAGTTAAAACTTAGCTGACAGCAACTCCAGCACACGCTTGTAATGAAGTCGAAAAGAGGTGCTCTGTGTTTGAAGCTAGTGCTGAATAAAAACTCTTTCCCATCAGAAAAAAATATGGTTGATGATTGATTCTGATTTGATTTGTTTTAAATTATTTTGCATGGCTATTGGGGTTGTACCGATCAAAATTCTCTCCCAGTGTGGAGTTCATAACCTCGACTGTCGATATCTGCTGATATGGATTCCTGCTCTGATGAAAGTGCTCTCTGTTTTCTCAAATTTGAACTCTGTGTAAGTCCCTCCGTGGAACTCTTTGGTAACAAATTTTCTGTTTTGGCAGTAGCTGTCTCTGTTGTCATGTTACCAAACTATCACACAATGAATCACAGAACCCACCTCATTAGCCCTGTCTAAATGAAAATTGGTGATATTTGCATGCTCACTATGTTTACCTACCAGGGATTTAACTGCCCAACTGGAGTTGTAGCAAATAAACAACAAAGACCTGGCTCTCCATGTGATCTTACTTGGTGTATCTTTAGTGTAGGTAGACCTGGGGGTGTTTGATCTGTGTTTCTGCCCCTCCCCGCTCCCTCTCTTTGAACCAGTGCTAGAGTTCTTTGTCTTTCCCCCAGGAGGCGTGGCTTTGACAGGGCTGATTCAGAATACACAGACAAACTGCAGCACTACACCAGCGGCCACAGTGAGTAAACCAACACTGCCTGCGTTTACCGCTGGTTTCTCCTTCAGCACCACATACACCTGTCTCCATGACTACCATCTCACAGTCATCTCCATGGCTATCATTCAGCCCTCTGCTGCCTCACACACCTGTCTCCATGGCTACCACCTTGCATGCTGGTGTCCTTGGCTACAGCCCAGCACAGCACCTCTTCATTTGCCCGTCCCCCACTTACCAATAATCCTGCCTGTTGTTTGACTCTGCTCACTCGGAGCCTGGATTTAAACACATCAAAACCAGTGTTCAAGTGTGTGTTCTGTGCACATTTCATAGTTAACTAAATCCATTGTAGGGGAAATAGGTCAGCCTTCACTCACGTTAACGCCATTAGCATGCTAATGCCATATGAGTTATTTGCCATTGTTAAAAAATTCAAAAGACTCGGTGAATGAATGGAATTTCTCAATGATTTCCGTTCTTCATACAGTACGGCAGCATAGAGCCTAAATGACAATAATGCAGAAATAAATCTGTGAGAAAAGGCTGAGAAGGAATTCCACCATGGCTCCATCGATGATATTAAAGCTCATCCATCTTTCTACCGCATGATTGGAAATACACCGATCTTTTTTCATCTTAGGTTTATGACCCCATTTTAATTTGTTTATTTTATTGTGCAATTATGACCATGCTTCATCCTTTCTTATGTTAATTCCGCTCTAAAGGTTATAGCTCTCTCAATATAATCCGATCCTACTGTGCAATGAAGTCCAGTTTGTTACTGAGTTAAAAGTGTGCCAGTAAGAGATTCAGGTATTTCACAGCTAGTAACAGCAGAAGCCAATGTGTCCTGTGTGCGTCCTGTCCTCACACCAGTCACAGTTCAGGCTTCTGCCCCTGTTTTTGGTGGTCTTTGCCATCATAGGAAGGTGGTCTGTCGAACAGTGCTTCAGTTTGGGAAGAGATTGTAGGGTTTTAGTAATGGGGGGTTTTGCCTGGTCAGATCCTCTCCATCTGTTCATCTCTGCAGCACGCTCCTTCAACGTAGTGTGCCAGGTTTTGAGGCAGCGTGCATGCGCTTCTAGCTCTGCAGTAGGCCAGGCATGAGTTCAGTATCCATTCAAATAGCCTCAGGCCTGATGTGGAGGTGAGAGCCGAATAATCGGATTTAAAACTCGGGACACTTAAGTCCCTGAACACTTAAAGGCCACCTTAAGCCAATTTACCTGGCATCAGGGCTTAGGAGAGCCAATTTATTTCTTGGAGTGGAGCTGAGCGATGCTGATATAGGGCCCAGGTTTCTCTAGTGAGTGTTAATGGCACTCTGACTCAAGGAGATGATATATATATTAAGGTGCCTTATCACAGCTAAGAAGACTGGAGGTATCATGTCCTTGCTGGCTGAATAGCTATACACAGTAGCCACGAGGCACTAGTCGTAACCAGCATTTCTAACTACACTACCTCCTCCATCTTTCGACCTTCATCACCTGAATGTCATAAAAGAAATCACATACTTGCACAGGACTGTGCGAAAGTGAAGTGATTGTTAATGTGCCTGAATGCATTTGACTGTCAACCCCTGCAGGACTGTAAGCGTGACCATCGGAATCAAATATTATAGAGGCTCTTTCCTTTTTTCCAAGTGACTCCAGGAATGAAGATTTATATTGATCCGTTCACATATGAGGACCCCAATGAGGCTGTGAGGGAGTTTGCCAAGGAGATTGATATATCCTGTGTGAAGATTGAACAGGTCATTGGTGCAGGTAATGGAAAAATCTGACTGAAACGTGAATAGAATAAAACACTGTAAAATAGCTTGTTTTTAAGTTGATTTCAAAGTACAAATGGATGCACAAAAGCTGCTTACTTTTACTAGCTCCTATGACTGTAAGCTTAATAGAACCATTACTTTTCTCCACGTCATTTCTTCACAGGAGAATTTGGCGAGGTGTGCAGTGGTAACCTAAAGCTCCCAGGTAAAAGGGAGATGTTTGTGGCCATAAAGACTCTGAAGTCTGGCTACACAGAAAAGCAAAGGCGGGACTTCCTTAGTGAGGCAAGCATCATGGGCCAGTTCGACCACCCCAACGTCATTCACCTGGAGGGCGTGGTCACCAAGAGCAGTCCTGTCATGATCATCACTGAGTTCATGGAGAATGGATCGCTGGACTCCTTCCTCAGAGTAAGTAAACACAACACCTACAACACAACGATTTCAGGAAAACATATATTTTAGATTTTTTAAATATTTATTTTTTTACCAGCATTGCAATTGCAATTCAAATATTCACAAACATATTTGGTTGCTTCATCTCATTCTGTAAATGAGTAAAGCTGCTTGTCCTCCCAGGCTGTATGGTAATAATGACAAACTGCTAAATCACACTTGACAATGTTGTGATATTAGAGTGACTATACCAACTGCCACTGTTGACATCTCTGCGCTGTAGCTGCAGAGCTAACGTTAGCACAGACTGACAGCCTGAGCTGCTTCACTGCTTATCCCAGAGGTCTCAATTCAGAGCTTTTATTGTGATAAGCCTAAGAAAAATGATATGATGATCTTAAAAGTTTAATAGGAGTTTCTGACAGCTCCATCCGTCACTGTCTGTTAAACTCGACAACTGCTGAGCTACCTGCTAGCCACCTGTGAGAAAACGATGAGAGGTAATCACCCCCGCCATGCAAAGAGCATATTATTAACCAGCCGAGATTTGTTTTTTGTTGTTTAACCAACTCACAGAATTAGTTGTCAATATTGCCAGTGAAATCAACCATTGGAAGTTTAAACTTTCCTACAGATTAAGACATGGTTAACATTAATTATGTTAACGTATACTTGAAAATGCAGAGATTAATCATTAATCCCTAGTAGTAGTACTTAACTTAAGTTATTCAGACACCAAGAAGAACTCATATCCTTGTTGCACACACACACACACACACACACACAACTCTTGCATGTACACACATTTGTCCAATAATTTGACATGGTTTATACACTCATGCACAGTAATCCTACTTCAAATAAATATATTCATTATTTACTGAATCTCACCTGTGTTGTTACAATAGTCAATCACAAGTTCCTTAGAGATGTTCTGTGCTCTATGCAAACCTGCTTCACTATTAACTCTCACAGAATATGTGTTTTCCCATGGTATTGATTTATTTACTGCTTTTCTCTCTATTTTATATTTTCTCTGTCAGTCCCATCGATGAACCACAAAATAACAGGACAGGACATTTGTTTCTCTTTGATGTTTCCCTTGTTTTGGCTTTGCGCTAGCCCCACACACAGTCCACTGCTCATTATGTGGTACTGTATATGGATGCATATGGGAACCACACACTTATTCTTCCCCGACTGACTCCCCCAAAGAAATATGCAGTGCTCATAACTTCATGGGATTTTTAATTTTCATCATCTAGCCAGAGAAGGATATTACAGAGAACCGGGCATGCTCCCCCCATTGATGACCGGCATAAATAATTCAAATACTTTGCAAGACTTAAAATGAGATGTCAGATGTTTAAAAATGAAGCCAGCACTGAGATTAGATGTCACACAACCCTTCACCATCTGTCTTGGGATGTTAGTGAAATAAAAACACATTTTTTTCTAATATGACTTGTTTTTAATGATTTCATCTACCCTAATTACTCTCTTTGCATTTTTGGAATGAGCAGAAAAGGGCGTTTGATTTATGGAAATTGGAAATGTATGATCTTTGCCAAAAAAGGTTTATTTTTAGTTTAAATTAAATAATAATAATTAAAGTTTCAAATTATGTAATGGGAACTCTCTGTATTAATGTGAGTATGTCAGTGAGAATGCCGAATTATGAATTCACATTGCCTGAAATAAGCTATGCACTGCAGTATAGCATTGTACAATAGACAGTTGTTATTTTGTGGATTACAGATGTGCAGCATATACATTATGTACGCAATTAATAAGAACCATTAAATTTCATGTAAATGACTGTAATTTAAGAATTGAACAGCATTTTTAAATTGCCTGAAAACAGTCTTTACCTCTTTAAACGATTTCCACCGGTTTAATACCCACCCTGACAGTTTAAGCCCTCTACTGCAAGACTACATCAAAACCATCCTCAAAAAGGAGTCATGCAAGCTCCTGTCAGCACACTGTTCAAACTGGGTTCAGAGTCTTTATTTGCATTCTGCCTCCAACCTCTGAGACACAAAGCATCAGCTCTTTTTGGAATTTGATCTCACGGTGAAGGGTTTTTGTGTATATGTAGATGTTTGCTAAACATATTTGACAGCACATTGTATTCAAAACAACGGGGAACCTCTGCGGCACCTCACGGTGACAGTTTATGACAACAATTGCTGACAGTGTCAAAGTCTGTGAACATGGTTTGTGTATTCTCTGAGGTGATTGGTGGGTAGTTGTTTACAATGGTCACTGCAGTCTGTACTGTCTCTCCTGCTGCATCCTGCAAGGTAGAGACAGAATAGGAATTGGGGGAATAGATCGATCAGAGCTGGACTGGTATCTGGAGCCAACTATATGCAGAGAAAGTAAAGAGAATGAAAGTTGGTCTTATTTATTATACCTTATACCTTTATACCTTATTTTGTATAAATAAATAATGCTAGACCTTGATTCGCACAGTTTTACCATTTCCTAGTTATTTTGTCCACCTAACCTAACCCTAAAGACTTTGGAGGAATCTTTCCAATTAAAGTATATGCAAACACAGCACACAGATTAGGTGGCAATGCGTATTTGTGAGAAAGGTTTCATGAATAATGCATTCTGCTTAATTGCTGTGGTACACGAGGAAGAGCAGCTTGATGTGAGGAGAAGCATCCGCTCGACTAATGAGCAGCAAAGTATTTGAAAGAGAAATAGGCCAGTGGAGCGGTCATGCAGACTGTTAATATGGCTGTGCTCGGGGGCCCTGCTCGCCTGCCCTTCCAATTCCCTCTATTGGCCTTTCCGTCTGTCCACACCCGTCCCCAAGCTTCTACGCTCCTTTCTCTGGAATCTTCTGTTCTCTGGGCGTCGTGGTGGGTGGTGGGGAGAGTGCAGGTGTGCGCAGTTGGAGGCACAGCTGCACCACTGCTCCAGACGCTCCCCATGCATGGGGTAAAGCCCTCACCAAACCATGGAGGGGAACAGCTGTAGACAGCCAGCCAGACCCAGCTTAGCCCTGTCCAACCCTGCCGAGGCCAGTTGAGCCCAACCCAAACCTCGCTGTTAGTATCCTGCAGGGCTTCTTCACAGAAACTAATACTACAAAGTAACTTTTCTGCATTAGCCACACATGGGTTGGGTTACAAGTAGACATGTCAACATTAAATGTTCATGATTTAACATAAATCAGTTAAGTGGGAATCAGTTTGCATTATTAATGGCACATTTTGTTAACATGGGGGGCATGGATGATGAATTTGAAAATAATCATTACCCTTGTGTAGATTTGTAAATGTGATTATAACATTTTTTTTTGTTTGTACAAAAAAACAATCCCCAACAAAATTGACTCAGTCTGTGTTTTTCGGCCCTTTAGCCCCAACATTAATGCGGCACACTAACAAGCTTCTTTTTGCATCTTTGCCTGAAATTAGAATATTCAAGTTCATTCTGCTGGCCTGACTATATGTAAATATTCTCAGGCAAGCCAGAATTTTTAGCAGCGCCTCTTATTTATGAACCACTAGATGCAAGAAGGTATCATAACACAATATTTCTGTTTTACAGCAAAACGATGGGCAGTTTACTGTGATCCAGCTCGTTGGTATGCTACGTGGCATCGCCTCAGGCATGAAATACCTGGCTGACATGAACTACGTGCACCGAGACCTTGCTGCCCGAAACATCCTGGTCAACAGTAACCTTGTGTGCAAGGTGTCAGACTTCGGCCTCTCGCGCTTCCTGGAGGATGATACATCAGATCCCACTTACACTAGCGCTCTGGTAAGAAACATTCACGTCTTACCTTCCCCTCATGATTAAACTGGGGTCAAATAAGTTTAGTATATGGTATTGTTTCAATAAGAACTTGTATGACACTATCTGAACTGCACTGATTGAGAAGCCCATTCATCTGGTGCTGCCAGTTGGTTTTATTTGATCCATGACTGACGTACACTACAGTTCACTCCCACACTGCTCTCCCTATCAAGACAAACATCACCCCTTCACCTGTTCTTCCCTTTCTCTTTCTCCAGTATTTCATGAACACACTTCACTCCCAGGGGTTTTGTTATATCCACCTCCCAGTTTGGATTACAGTCAGCATTGTTGCCGTGAACGGTGTCTCTCTCCAGAGCCAGGACACTGTGACGGTCGGGTTTCGGTCTTGCTTCCCTCACTGAGGTTTTTGCCCTTTGTGTTCACAGGGAGGGAAGATTCCTATCCGATGGACTGCACCCGAAGCTATCCAGTACAGGAAGTTCACCTCTGCTAGTGATGTGTGGAGCTATGGGATCGTCATGTGGGAAGTCATGTCCTACGGAGAAAGGCCTTACTGGGACATGACCAATCAAGATGTATGTATTTAACTTTCCTGAAGTTGTTCTGTCTATGTCAAATTTCCTCCTTAAACAGATTTTTGAAACAATGCCTCACTACACACATACATTTTTTACTTCTTGAGTTTCATTACAGCCTCAGACTCCTCAGAGATACATTTTGTCATTGTATCTGCTTTCCCTTAGCTAAAGAGCAGCTTTCACTCGTGGGTTTTATATGAAAATTCCCCCACACTCACCACAGAGACATAATCAGATCATTTGAAATGCACGGCAGTGCTCAGTGGACAATTTCTGCTCTTGACTGGAGCCTCCATTTCCTATCTCCCCCCGGGTAGCAGAGGAGAGAGCAAATTATGGGGAGAGAGATAATGAAAATAGTTTCAAATTGAAAGTGAGAACACTAATGTGCTAAGAGGGACTGAGGACCTCAACGGTTATCTTATTAGCAGCTCCAGATAGTGTTTCTGCTCCATCGGGGTGCTCGTTTGGGGGTCTCATGAATGAGATTAATCTGGGTTTGAATGGAGCTGCTTTAATGGCTCTGATAATGAGCAGGGGATTGTGCGTCCTCGTCACAAGTGTCCTTCGGGTTGTCTCACTCTGTTAACCATGCACCACCTCTGCGTGCCCCCCGACCAACAGCATCACCGGCCGAGTCAGACGTTTAATGTGGCTTTACAGAGAGAGAGAGAGCATTAAATACTTTGTAAAGGCTGGAGATGAGGTCACTGCTGGCAGAAATGGGAAGTTGGTGGAATAAGTTTGTTCTTAATGACCTAACAGGTGTTTAAGAACTCTTCACATGAAGAACTAATGTGGTGATTTGTGCACACATATTTATATTTATCGTTTATATGTATTTATGTTTAAATAATAACAATAATTTAACAGTTTTGACTCACAGGCAGTAACACTCACAGTAATGACTACAACAGTTGTTTTCACCACATGGTGAGAGACACAGATGCTCTTGTTCATCAGAAGACCAGCATCAGTGCAAATATGTATTCCATATTAGACCTGATTATTGTGAATTTACTTAAATTATCCAAAAAGATATTTTTTACACACTCATGGCCTTTGTTGGTAGGACAGGGCTTATATAACCTGAGAGGATGTTTATCTAGAGCATGGTGGAAAGGAATTCAGTACATTTAGTCAAGGACTGTAGGTACTTGTCCATTGTATACTTTTTTATACTTCTGTGGTACATTTTTCATTCATTTTTCTCAACTACATTTATCTGACAGCCATAGTTACTAGTAACCAAGGTACTACGATTTAAGATACAATTCAGAAAACATATTGTTAAAAATGAAATGTGTGGTTCCCAATCTTTTTAGTTTGTGACCCCTTACAAGAGAAATGAGTTGTTACCATTAGAGTTACATTTGCCCCTTCTTCCCACATGCTTTCATTTGAAGAGAATAAAAGTGTTTATATAATATTTTCTACAGAACAAGCAAAGCTTAGTGAAAAGTTCAAATAAATCTTGAAAAAACTTTCTTCTGATTTATTGTGTAAGCAATCTGAATGTATATAAAGTATTTAGAGCTCTGTATCAACAGTAAAATGCTACTGGTGCTTTGATACATCACTATTAAGAATCTAATAATCTAATATACAATAATATATCAGTCACAAGGGCCATTGTTGCATAACAAGTACTTTTACTTTTGATATGTAAAAGGTCACAATTGTTTGCAAATGCTTTTAGGTGTAGAATTTTTAATGCAGGACTTCTACTTGTTATGCAAAGCTTTTTCACTGTTGTATTGGTACTTCTATTTAAGTAAAGGATCTGAGTACTTCTTCCACAACTGGATCGCACACTCTCTCTTCTCCATCAATCGATCTCCTTTTTTGTAGAGCCTCATAGCAACCCTTAGAGATCTGTGTCTCCCCCTGCAGGTCATCAATGCCATAGAGCAGGACTACCGGCTTCCCCCACCCATGGACTGCCCAAGTGCGCTGCACCAGCTCATGTTGGACTGCTGGCAAAAGGACCGCAACAATCGGCCCAAGTTCAGTCAGATCGTCAACAACCTTGACAAGATGATCCGCAATCCCAACACACTGAAGGCCATGACCCCGTTATCTTCAGGGTGAGTGGCAGGAAGGCTGTTGATTTAAATTAAATTTGTTTTATGTGATTTATTTGTCTTTGCATTGTCTGCCAGTGATGCTAGCCATAACACATGCTGTAGACTAGTGTTAAGTGTATATTCTTCTCTTTTCCTTTCTATGCCCTTCACTCTGTGTGCGGTATCTGCATGTGTGTTTTATCTCGTCCCTGTAGGCATCCCACAAGACAGGCCTTTGGTTTTAGCATCATTTCACATTGATGTGGATAACATCTAGAACAATATTATGCATCTGATTGTCTCTCAATGTAAAGGCTTTCCTCTTCCTAACAGGAAATTCATACTCCTGCTGCAGTGCCATCCATGGCACGGTTCACTTTTTTCCGAACACAGTGTCTCTTGTTTCTCCTGGCGCCGAGCGGTTATGTAAATTAAAGCCTTTTGGTTTGATAGATCAAATCCTTCCCACGAACGCTTTGGGCGAAAACCTGGATTGAAGCAGTTGTGCAATTTTCAAAACAAAACATTTTGAAGCGTTTCTGCTCTGGGTGTTAGTTTCCTTTGAGAGCCAGGGTTTACTGATTTCCATTATCCCTGTCTGTACTTTCATTTGTGGTGGAGTGCAGGACCGAGGGCCAGATTTTCCACAGACACTGAGTGGATATATTGGCTCCCTGAAGCCTATCACTTCATTTGGAAAATACACTTTATGAAGAATCAGTTTGGAAAATATTGGTTCATGGATGAGGCCAGTGGAATTCTCTAAGTTCTGTCTAGCCTTTTGAAAATGTAATGTAATAATTCATGTTTGAATCATACGCAGGTGGTCTGGGTTGACTATGATGTTAGGCCTGCCACTTTTTATTATCATTATTCCTAATGGCTCCTGCTTGTGTCCCCCTTAGTGTTCATCTCCCTCTCCTGGACCGCAGCATCCCAGACTTCTCCAGCTTCAGCACTGTGGACGAGTGGCTGGATGCCATCAAGATGGGCCAATACAAAGACAATTTTGCCAACGCTGACTATTCTACATTTGATGTGGTGTCCCAGATGACCATGGAGTAAGTGCTGATGATTTCTGCCATTCTGGGATAAGAAGCATAAGGAAAACGATATCATGAGTCCGGTTTATTGAGCCCTGTATATCCCCAAAACCTGAATGAGCACCAGACTCTGCTTCTGGCCCGCTATAAAAGACGTCAGCTGTTCTGCATGTAATTAGCAGATCGTAATACTGCAGTTGCGAGGCTGAACAGTGGACACAATAGCTGGGAGCCATAACAGTGCCCTTTATTCTCTGCCATGTGTTTAACAGGCCTGTTTTTGACCTCAGTTTAAGGATTGAGAGGAGGTATCGTAATATGGGGTAGGAGAAATCGAGAAAAATCATCTTGACAGACAAGATCATGTTAAGAATGCCACCCGTGGAGAAACAGATAAAATCATTTCCTGTCAGCTACGGATAACAGTATCACGAGCCAGAGATTAACCCGCAGAGATGATGAGCTTCAATTCTTGAACAAAACAGATGGTAATGTGTAATTCAATAAGCATGATTACTGTTGAGATTCAGAATCAGGAGAGAGTAATTTCATTGTCTTGTGAATAAGAAACAGTTCGATAAACACTGAGTAAATTATCATGTTTGGAGCTGATGCCACTGCCTGGATACAAAGTGGAACTTCCTGTTTATTTTGGAATTTTTAAAAAACACATGACCTCTGCAATGAATGTTGTGTCTGCAATATACTTGAGTTGAGTTGAGATGTTGTGAATTTGTAATTCTTGGCATTTGTTTTGGTGGTATGAGATGGGAGGGGTTCACCACATCAGTCAGGAAGTTAGTCAGTCACAGAAAAATACCCTAAAGTGGCATTCAAACATTCTTATGTGATTATATAAGCTCTCTGGCCTCAGAGATGGATGCACACGCAGCTGTTTCTCTGGAAAATGACAATGTTTCATGCCTGTTACTTTACTGTCATTTCAGTTTTTATATACCGTGAATACTGTGTTTCTCTTCTGCTTGCCCTTTTGTCATGCCTCCATATGTTATGTTGTAGATAGATAGATAGATAGATAGATAGATAGATAGATAGATAGATAGATAGATAGATAGATAGATAGATAGATAGATAGATAGAGACGGAAAGACAGAGAGATTCTTCAGAACTGTTTATAGTCTGTGGTAAGATTAGTCTGACATCTGCTTCTGTCTCTCCTGACAGGGACATCCTGAGGGTTGGTGTGACGTTAGCAGGCCATCAAAAGAAGATCCTCAACAGCGTCCAGATGATGCGGGCACAGATGAACCAGATTCAGTCAGTGGAGGTTTGACCCTCCGGAGCGGAGCAGAGGGGGAAAAAAAAGTCGTTTGGGATGCAGGGCTCTGGGTGTGGAGGATGGAGTGGATGTTTTTTCGCGTTACAGTCTGTCTGGTCTTCCCACCAGACTACCATTCATTCCCTGTTCCCCTCTCCACTTCCCTCTCTCCTCCTCTTATCCACTCACCCTGACTCTCCCTCCATCCTTGGGATCAGCTGTGGAGAGTCGTGGAAACAAAAGTCCGTGTAATGAGGCGTCAGAGGGCCCACAGCCAACCCACCTTTGGAGCTTGAAACATGGGAGGTTAGAAATGACCAGCAACACATTTTTCAATCTTCCACCAATTTTCATTTGATGTTGAACATTTATTTTTTTGGTTTGTTTGTTCTGATAATTTTGTAAAGAATTTTTTAAAGAAAAAAAAGAAAAAACTGAGAAAAGGCACGGAGTTTATCTAAATTTATAGATGATATAAGGTTGTACACTAGACGAACTGAGTAGGAAAGCTACCCTTTAAAAGGGCCAAAAAAAAAAAAAAAGAAAAAGAAAAAGAGGAGTTGAGGAGACGAGGCCATCCTCAACAAGGTGTGGATAATGTCTTTGCTGTTTTTAATTTTGGACATCATGAGGAAACACAGAGTTCTCTGTGGCCCTCTAAAAGGCAAACTGCAGAGGAGACTAAGGGACCCGACGTGCACTCCCAACTGTTTCCCCAGGAGAGAAAAAAAATTAAAAAACCATGAAATGGACACATTTTGGCATAGACTGATGTCAAAAACACCTTCACAGTGAAATCAACACTCAAGAAAAAGAAAAAAAACATTTTTTTTTCTCATTGCAAGTAATTTTCTATATTGTGTGAAATTTTGTGATGAAGATTCCGTCTCACCATGCTTCCTCTCACTATAAACAAAAAAAGTTTTTTTTTTCTTTCACAGTGAAATACTCACAGCTTGCCAAATAGAACTCTTCCCTTTTTGCACCCCAATCATGATCCTGTACTGTACATATCAGATGCACTTGACCTGCCACAACGCGATGACTCAGAAACAGTTACGATCGGTCAGTTCAGGAGCAGAAGAACTGACCGCAGGGAGGGTTTAAGTTGTTGTCACAATCAGTTTCTTTTCTTATTCTGTGAAACAATAATAGTTTGTGGAGAAAAAAAACAGCCAACAACTTCCTACATAGGTTCACACAAAAAGAAACAGGTTCTACTGTTTACATCAGAGTCCACACAGTATGTCCTGTTATAGCATCCTCCTTCACGTTGTTCATCTCCAATGCCGTCTGTGCACATATTGCACGTGCATACCACATGCACAAAGAAGCAGTGGCTCCCGTTGGGACTCGTGTTTGATAGCATGCTGAGTGAGTGGTTAATTTCACAGTGCTTTGATTTGCTGCAATTACTAGAACTCTGTTTGGTAAGAGCTTGGATTTGACACACTTTACAGATTATAATGTGGCTGCATTATATTCAGTGTTTCTTCTTCTTCCAGTTTTTCTTTTTGAAAAGACATGTTTATGTTTAAAATATTAAAGTTTTGATACCACACATGGTTATTTTACACGCGACACACACACACACACACACACACACACACACACACACACACACACACTCACACACTTTATATAGACTTTACAATCAGGCGTTTGTTGAATTTAAAACAAAAATGCAGCGTGTTATATTTTTGCAATTTCTGTATGGATATTATTGAATTGTTATTAATATCACTTTTAGTTTTTTTTTTTTCTGCACTGAGTCGACTGACTCCAACAAACACTCTGAATCTTCCATCAATGCTTAGAAATTTATTTTTAAACATGAATCATGTTGGTGCACAAAACCATGTAGATAAACGGCATTTCCCTGTAACAGGTTTTGATTTCATTTTATAGACAGTATATGCATTTATTGTATGGTTTCCTGTGAACAATACTGTCTGATGAGTACAGAGCTGTCAGTCATCGTTTGTGTTGTTATCTGTAACCTGGCGTGAGGGTTGTGAGGGGAAAGATGGAGTTCATAGCAATGCAATGATCCCCTGGAGATGGTGAATCAGCTGTGGGTTTATGTATACAGCCACTAAATGATATCAGCAGTGCTGGGCTCCGCTCCGAGACCTGACAGCCAGACATGGACGTCCAGCTGTGAGCCATCGGTAAGATGTGTCCGGTCACAGCGGGGTGGGCCGCACCCGGATCACAGCCGCTCTGTCCAGGCACTGATTCCCTCTCTCTCCCCTTGATCACATACATGCCTGTCAGCCACCTGTCTGCCGCTCCCACTGATCTCCACACAGTCGGCGTTCAGCAGTTGTCTGGTTTTGTCTCGGCGAGTTTAAAAAGAACCAACAGCAGCAGGCGAACTGACACTCATCAGTGGGGCAGTTGTGTCTTGTCTTGTCCTGATGCTGCATGCCTCTGTGTATGTGAAAAAAAAAAAAAGATTCCTCCAGACCGGATGGACAGTGCTGCCATGTTTGTTGGTACCAAATTCTCAGACTTGACCTGAGTTTTTGTGGCGTCACTGCAGACAGCTTTAGCACCAAAGCTCTGGGTAAAGAAAGTGAGAAACCTCAGTTATTGCACCCCTGTCATCTTACCTTTCATTATCCCAGGCTGTCCAGAGAATTTAAGACCACGAGTGGAGGGATTTTTATTCTCTTTCTGCTCCATAATCCTCTCCTTGGTTATTTTCAGTGCAACACATCAGAACGAATATTTCCCTGGAAGCTTTTATAACATATGAAACTGGAGGAGGAGAATCATGAGCTGTTAGTCATAGCAAAGAGGCGAGTGAGAAGTGATGCTGTGACCTAAATGCCACCGATGCCAACATGCAGTTTGCTTTTTAACTGAGCTTTAGACTGTCTTCCTTTTCCATTTCTCAATACTTAACAGCTCATCAGTTTTATGTTGTGAGGCTGTACGTCTTCTCATGGTGCTGCAAATATTCCGTCGTCAGGAAAAACACTTAATGTTGTTTGAGAAATTAATCTAAAGTATACACAAGGCTGGTGAGTTTCTGCTGCGGCCCCATTAAAGCTCATTCAGATGCTTGTCCATGGATGCTGCCAAGACTTTGAGTTATTAATCAAGCAATTATCCTTGAACTTTGCTTGGATGAACTTCCTTAAACAGGGTGGGCAGACATTCTTATTGCTAGACATTAAATAGTGCTGAAGTTGACTTTATGTTGCATACTGTCAGTATTTTCTTGCCGCTCAGAGAATACTTTTTGTAGAACTCCTTCTGAGGGGTTAGTTGTTTTCCATTTCGTCTAAAGGAGTTTAAGAAGACCCTTTGATTGAATGTGGAGTGTTTGAAAGCACTGCATGAAGTATTTATGTATCTTATGATTTTGATGGCACAAAAGAGACGTATTGTTACAGTTCAAGCTGAGCAATGATAGTGGAAGAAGAAATTGACGCACTTATGTCAAGTGTTTCAAATGATTTTGCCTTCCTTTTCAACAGCAGACTGGCTGCTTTCTTTACACCAAAGCCCAAGCTGTGAAAAAAACCCTGATATCCAAATTCTAGACTGTTGAAAAATGTATAGAAACAAAGTTACTAATTCATCTGGCACAGTTTTTATGGAGGGCATATTTCTAAAATACATTTTATGTGGTGATAATTCTTTTATCACCTCTCTGAAACTGAAAAACAAAATATTTAATTTAAGTGAAATTCTTTTCCATTTCCGTAAATATTTTTCACAGTACAGAAGTGTCGGATATATCTGAATATCGGATCACTGGGAAATTTAAATCTACTGTATGTCAAGTCAAGATTTGTATATACAGAACGGTATTTGTGTCCTTTATGTTTAATTCACTTGCTTATTTCCCCTTTAAAGCAGTTGTTTTCTACTGTTCACTTTCCAGAAACAATATGTATTATTTAACTTTTCAGATGTAGTTTTATTGTAAATTTTTACAGCACCAAAAATATGCCATCTACACATGCAGACTCCAGCTTCTCAAGTTATAAAACTTTTTACAGTTTTCCTCTGGAAATTGAAGTAGATGCAGCGTGGTTGTGATGGTTTCACACAACGTTTGCCTACAGCAGCTTTCAGCAAAACATACTGTACTTTCTCCTTTTACATCTGTGAAGCAAAGTAAAAACCACTCAGTCCTGCCCTCACCGTGTGCCAATTTTTGAAGGACGGAGGAAAACCGTTAAGTCTCAGTGTTACTGTTACATGATAGTGTGCATAAACACGAGCTGTGCCAGGTTGTACCCACTGGGCTGCGTTTGAACGCTGCCCAACTACAGTATGGTCAGAGTGAGAGGTCTGCCTCCTGTTGTGGAGGACAGAAAATGGCTCCTGTTTAATGGATGCAGCACGAAGCACCAGAGCGCCCTCTGCTGCTGTGGTGGTCAAATGTAGCTTGTTGGATTGACATTTTCAGGTGCAGATAGTCTGTGAATGTTGCAGCAGGCAGAGCTCCAGTGTTCGGGACACGTCAGCAGGCTGCTGATGGACAAACGCTGGCTGCTGCTCAGAACAAGCCTGTGTCTTTCCCTCTGTTGGACAAACTTTCATACCACTACGGCACCCTGCCACCTGTGTTCCCCTATATGACCCTGCTACCCTCTGTTACCCGCCTCCCCCTCCCACTCCCACTCTGGCTGTTGGCTAGTACAGGCGGGGGATCATCACGAGTTCCCCGGTCCTTTAAGCCCACATTATAGACCAGTGCCGGTTCAGACCACTGTGACTGATGTGGGACATCCTGTATTTCTGTATAAATGTATATTGACTGTAACCCTGTGAATGATGTAACAATTTCATTATTTGTAATATTGTCATTGGTTTATTTTCTAAAAATGGAAAGCCCAACTTGACTCTCCTCAATAAAAAATAAGATCTGTTATAAAACAGTGAAGAGTAGTTTGTTCATTATTTGGTCATTCAAAACGTGTTCATGTTTTTTAATCTTTTATTTTCTTGTTACAGTGGCGATTCGGGCCGTATATTTTACAATGGTGAATAAACATGAGCATAATGTTTTGCGTAAAACTAATATTTGGTAACAATAAATAATTAAATGTTAAACAAAAATGTGAATTAGTTGAAACATATTTTATGATTTAATTTTAAAGCACTTGAAGATGATCATGTTACTGATGACTGGAATTCATTTTATTATAAGAGGTAAAATGTACATATTATTATTAGTAATGGGCAAAATGCAGCAAACCGCATAATTGGTCAAAAACAGAATTTACGTTTTTGACTGTTCTACAATATAAAATTAACCTATGAAATGTATAATTTCTGTGAAAACAGCAACTCCAATATTTGGAGGAACTACAATACAGATGTGGAAGCTATAAGCCTCACTCACTTTTTTTGAAAATCTCTAGACTATAAATCAATGTAGCACTTATTTCCCACAGAGAAATAGATAAACGCAAGGGGTATGACTAGTCTCAATTAAAGCTAAGAGTTTACCTGTAAATGTCTTTGATTTTGATGAAATGACATCATGGTGAAATGAGTTAGTGATTCCAGATAACTTTAATGAGGCTCAATCAATCCAATAGCTAAATTCCTGCTGAAGCTAACTGCCTCAGTGGATCTCAGTTGGTTTCTGAGCTAGTGACAGTAGCTACCATTTTAGCTTTTACTCTAATGGAATTCAACTTTATTTAACATATTTAAATTATGAAAATAAAATTATTAAATTGTAATTTATATCCCATTCTGTAAACAAGAAAACTTTCATTTTATTAGTTCATTTTAGTTTTAACAAACTAGTTAAAATGGACAATAAAGCAGATTTTTATGTATTTTCTGAGGATTGTCCGAAGTGAAAGTGCAGTAACTTCTTTTTTTAGGTATTATGCAGGTTCTAGTGGGGGGGGGAATAATCAGTCTTAGGGAATAAAATGAAGGCATGGCTATCTGAGAGAATTTGAAAACTTTAAACCCAGTCCACTGCGTCTGCAGTTACTGGTCCCTGCCTTTATATGACAGTCAATTTTTGTATCAAAATTAATTAAAAAAAACTTAATAGTATTACAACTATTATAAGCAGGACATTTGTTTCCATCTAGCATTCAAATTAGGCTTTTAAAGATCAATCAACAGGCCATTCCTCTAGCTCAGTACACAATGTTTCAAAAATGTAGGCTACAGCTTACACATTTCTTGAGTAAATAATTTAATGAATTACAAACATGAATTTCATCAGAATCCATAAATGCCACACCATGTGTAGCATGCATCATATTAGACTCACCAAATCTGCGCTGCAAATAATTTTTTGGTCAAATTGAGCGTTTGAGCGAGCCTCACTTCTCTCAGTGTATCCCCCAGAGCCAGACTCCTGCACATTGTTCTGTGGTTTTATGTCAGAAGTGATTTGACCAACAGTGCTGCCGTCTCTCCACAGCTCAGTTTCTCGAGTGGAGGTCAGACTCCCTTCACCTTGCTCTGAGATTTTGAAACCTCATTAGCAGCCAACGTGTGAAAGGCTGGAGACCTCAGCCTGACCCGGCGGAGAATGGCGCGTGTGTTAAACGGCTTACTCTATGAGCAGGAAAGGAGGGGTTCAGGAGTTCAGTGGAGGAAGGACCCCGCTGGCACACCAAACCCTTTCTACTTCTAGTCCCGACCACCCATAAGTCTCCCCACCTTCTTACACCTTGATGACTCGGGGCCCAGCACGGCCCGAGCATGGGAACAAACTGGGAGAGGCTTGTCATCTGAGCTCTGAGGGTCATAATGTACAACTGGGGGAGGAAAAGAGTGTGTGAGGGAGATTAGAGAGTGTTATGTGACTGATTAAATGTCAAACAGTAGCAACAGTGAGTTTTCAGAAGCTCCAAACTCATCTTCTCATTTGGAGAACATGTCTGATAAAAGGTGTGCTTATGTTGGGGGAAGGTAGGCAGAGACTTTTTGTAATATGACGGTTGAGTGTGGAAGAGGGATTCGTAGAGGTGCCATCTCTTCTGCATGCGTCCCATAATTCATTGCTACAGTCCATCTCATCCTGCCCTGAAGAGTATAAACAAATAACAATATAAAATCAATGGTCATACTAGCGAAGGTGATTCCGTGTTTGAGGCATCCTGGTGGATTATGGTCAGTGGTGGAAAGTAACTAAGTATATTTACTCAAATACTGTACTTAAGTACAGTTTTAAGGTATTTGTACTTTACTGGATTATTTTCATTTCCTGCTGCTTTATATGCTATTGTAACTTTTTTAATGTAATTAATAAATTATGATGTAATGTTATTACATTAAGAGCTAACTTAATTGATCCCCAGGGGGAAATTAAACCAGCGTTTAATATATATATATATATATATATATATATATATATATATATATATATATATATATATATATATAATAGTTTAAATTGGCTTTACCAACTTGTATAGTAAAGTGATGTACACATGAATGCATCACTTGCAAACCAATAATGTTATAAACATTATTCCGAGTAGTTTCAGTTCTTCTACATTTGGTACTTTAAGTATATTTTGTTGCCAATCCTTTTACTTTTACTTGTAACTTGTACTTTTTAATTTTAGTAATGCTACGTTTACCTAAGTACAAGATCTGACCATTACTGCTAATGGCAGAGGTCCGACATTTAATTTTTTTAAATTTAAGAATAAATTAGATTAAAAAAAAAAATTCATAGGATTGTATCTGAAGACAGATACCAACTTATTGTCATTAGTAACTGAAGGCTAACAGAGTTTCAGCAGCATGTTGATACTGTTTGGCAGAAAGGTTACCCACATAGCCTGCTTTATTTATGGTTGAATTTAAATGCTGTTTTTGCTTTCTTTTAAAGAAATGCCATTTCAATTAAAATGTCACAAAATACATGGTTTTTATTTCTCTTCATTTAAAAGTTTAATAGCATCGTCATTTTACAATGTGCAATTACATATTCAGCTAACAGCCATACTCCATCCATGATTTGCAAAATGTCTTGTATCATTAAACGTATCCAATTGGATTCCTCAAAGTGTTTTACAAGCCCAAGACTCTTAAAAAATTCCACCCACCACCTATGAAGAACTACGTAATCCTCTAAAGCAAATTAAACATATAAATCATCAAAAATACTGAGTTGGAATGATTATTTAGAAATACATCATCAAAATACTGTTTGAAGTAAAATAGAAGTAATTGGTGGTGAACCAATCACTCATTTTCTATGAATTTTACCACATCTGAAAAACGGCTGCAGAGCATCTGGACCAAACAACCCCGAAATGAGCAATTCAATAATAATGAAGATTTATGGGTTTCTCACTTCCTAATAAACCATAAAGTCAGCAGTTGGAAATGTTAATAAATTGTTAATAGATGGACTTTAGTCCAGATGGCCTGTAGCGCTTTTCTAGAAGTTAAGTGGTTGTTTGGCTATTTCTAATTAATTAAAAAGCAGCTAAAAAGACAAAACAATTAAAAGTTATGCTGGAGGAGAATTACCAACCAACATTGTTTATTTATTTCTGGCAAACCAAAAAGTTATCCATACGAAAGCCTTATTACCGATTTATGAGGCATTAATACATTCTTATTTACATAAGTAAACTCCTATATAAAACTATGTATAAGTCATTAACTCACAGACATTAAGCAAACAACTAATAAACAAACAAGGAGTATGCCCTATTAGAAAATGGCAGCAACATAGGTATAGTAAACAGTACTACCATAATTCTGCCTATTATGGTATGTTTTTCAGGTTTGACGACCTTCCACCAGGTTGGTAGCTGCTGTTCTGTCTGACGGTGTTCAAGCAAATGTCCTCATTCTCCAGACAGTCTGGGAGGCAGGAGGTCACTGCAAATTTTCCATAATGGTAGCTGTGAGATGAAAAACTGTATGTGGCCACCGATGACATTAAGGCCAATGTGAGTGAGCGAGGAAGGGTTCACCGGCTCATGTTGTGTAGAAAGACCTCCAAATGGGTCAGAACTGTCTCAAGCCATTTCCATCATATCCGGCTCTCGAAACATGATGGAAAGTGGAATCAGAATGAAATAAGACATAGTGATTCCTCCGGGCACAGGAGGAACGGATCTGCTTACCATACAACTGCCCTTAATTGGCAAGAAGCTCAAAAGTTCGACCCCAGGAGCCAGATTTTAAGAGAGTTACGAGACAGTGGCTAATGCAGCACAGACTGCTAAAAGACCCTTTGCCTGGATTGATGAATTAGTGCGTCCAAGAAATCTGGACATCTGGGCTAAGGGTACGGAGAATTACATCCAACTCTAACTGGACTCAGGCTCTGCTTAATACAGCCCAGCAGGTACAGTAAATAAGACTGAGAGGTTAATGTGGACCTTGCAGGGACCTTGGTTGTAAATAAAAACCATGTTTGATCCACACTGTTCTAGCTTGGCAAGGAACTCTGAGCAACTTTTCAACAGAAGCCATCATTCATGGACAGACAGCAGCTTTGTTATTGGTGTTAATGATAAGAAGTTGCCAAGTTCTGTCCTCAGAAACCTCCAGGAAAATGTGTCCGGATTCCTTAATGTTACACTGCAGATGAAGAGTATTTATATGCCAAGGTAACTGCAAACAAACAGATTTTAATTACTGATTAATATGAATATTCATGTGTAAAAAGTTTCTGCAGGTTAAATTTAATTTAATTTAATTTACCCTTTTAAGACCATTATGAATGGAATTTAAGACCTATTTTAGGTCCCTACTAAAAAATGGATATGAAGAAAATTTGGTAGTGGTTCCATGTCTGTTTCGTTTTGTATTTGTTACAGCATGATCCATAGAAATCTTTCATCATATTTAACTAGTGACTAGTGTGTAGGATTTAGTGGTATCTAACAATGAAGTTGCAGTTGAATATTCCTATTCCTATATTCAGGTGATTAT